GGTTGACCGGGGGGTGCCGTTGCCATACCATTGGTCGTCTGTCCAGCTTCGCATCCCTGTCGCCATTGCAGGAACTGCAAGTGGTCAGCAGCACCATTCTCCTGCGGCGGCCTGGTCCATGGGTCACGTCTGACCCAGGGATCACTTCCATCAGAAGCAGCAGAGCCAGCTCCAGGCGTGGGACCTTCGGCGGTCGCAGGGCCGGAAATAGGCTGCCAAGTAGCATCCTCAGGAGAAAAACCAGGAGGAGGAGCGGGATGTTCCATGAAGCACGGCGCGCGGTCCCTGGACGAAACCCGCTCCGCTACCACTGCGGATGCAGTGGCAGCTGGAACCAGGGGTTCCTACGGTCCTTTTCGACCATTGCGTGCTCGGCTTGAGCCAAGTTTGTGGCATCAGCTTTTGACCAAGTTGGTCCTCGGGATTTGCAATTATATATATTTATTTAAAACTATTACTATCTATTACTATTATATATATATATATAATATACACTTGAGGTTCTTGCCAAAAATTGGACCTTCATGTGCACTAGGAAGAGTCTTCCCAGGCTGTGTTTTCCATGCCTTCCCAGGCTTTATTTTCTATATGTCTCTGTAGCCAGAAGGCTGGTATTGCGGGGCCTGTTGAGACACACCCGCATGCGCAAGAACGCTGTTTTTAGTTGAGTCTGGGATATTGTTGGACTTCAAGTCATCTCTCATTGTGCCTCCTGCGTCTCTATGCCAGACCCACCCCGACCGCCACGCCTGACAGTGGCTTCGAGCTTAACTGAGGTGGCCAGCCTGACCTTTGCCTATTATCTCCTTCCCTTGCGACAGCCGCGTGGAGGATGTCCTTCACACCTGAGAGATGGGAAACCGCCTTTGAGCCCCATTGAATGTCCATTGAATGTAGGCTTTTGGTGGCCTTTGAGGGATGTTGGTCACCCGAGTGGCCGAATGGCCTTTCACGGCGTGCGATTGAAACGGCAGATTGTTCGGATGCCATTCGACGATGCCCGATGGTCTTCCTTGGGATGTTGCTTGGCATCCAACGCCCGAAAATTAAGCTTGGAAGCTCCGGGAGACGAGGGTCGTTCGCCGAAGCGGCCGGAGTCCCGCGGTTTGTCGGTCGAGTACTGACGTCGGCGGCGGTGAAAGGTCCAGAACTCGCTTTTCACCCAAAACCCGCACCTCGAGTCCAGCAGGTTTTCGTGGGAGTTTCGTCCGGTTCTGAAACGGTGTGAGCGGTGCACGTGAGTCTCAACCGAGGGACCTTGTTGGTGCCCATGACGAGGCTCTCCAGATCGCAGCGGTGTTTTGGTCGATATCAGTTCCGATCGTAGCGAGAAACCCATGCAACTGAGGAGTTTGACTCTGACAGCTACTGAAAATGGAGGCTGGGCATGGATGGCTAGTGGGTGCTTGACGCCGAATGACCACCAAAGATTTCCCTGGGCAAGATACACGACTGGTGATGACAAAGGGTTCACATTCCATGGACCAGCACGTATACATATGTATACCCTAGAATCTAGAAGTCGAACCACCATTTACAACATATTTAATAGCCTTTAACCGAACAACTTGAACAACCATTGTTTTACTAAGGGTTTTACGCTACAAAGCGAGATACTGTAAACAATTTGAAGATGGTCTTTGATGACTACGGCCATTGTATGTCCTAACCTTCATGTTTGATGGCTTCTGGAGCCAGGTGTTGATGCAGGGGGAGAAGTTTCAGCTACTTTCAACATGGGTGTGGATGTTCACCTGAGGGTCCGGCGGCCCACGTCAACTCAGTCTCCCCCCCACCCGGTTCAACCCATTTTGGAGCACCGGAAAACCATGGAAATCCCAACAAGAAATGACTCGGATGAGCTGTGGCACACATCCAAACCCGAAGTGGACCATACTGCCAGCGGTAGAGCTATACGGTACCTTCAGAGGTTCGGAATTGCTCACACCTTCAGGGCAGTTCCCGTGTTTGTCTTTGATTTTTTGGTGGTTGCTGCACCAAACATGGGACACGCCTTCTTCCAGATCCAGAAACGCCGTCCTTCCAGCCACCGGAGAAAGCTCGCCAGGCTTGACGGTGGACGGCACCTTCCGACCGCCGGAGGTCGTTCCTCGGAGCCGGAATGGAGGTCGACCCCCCCAAACGAGAGCATGAAAGCGCGAAGAGCACGGTTGGAGTCCCGGGAGGTCATCCAAGGTTTGAAACATGGTTGCTACAGGATCACCACTGTGGATGATGCACAGGTCGAACGACTTGACTTCAATGAATCATTTTCACCAGCTAGTGGCTACTTGTTTTGGTCTATTTCGAGACGACCGACCGGACGGGACGCGACCGGTGCCCTCCTTGAAGAAAAACCGCTCAGAACTGGATCGACACCAACAACGCCAACTATTGGTACACCTTGGGCGGCAAGTTCCTGATGAACGTTTCGGACGCCTCGGCAGCGCAGTGGCAAGTGCAGGCGTGATGGCTGAAACCCGCGAGTGACGCTCGCGGGGTCGCATCTGGGGGAAGCTTCTGGGTGGCTGGAAGAACTTTCGTGTCTGGTTGATGGTGGTTGGGTGAGTGTGGTGGTATGTGGTGGTGTAAAACAAGAGGGTGCTGTAAGAAAGTCCCACAAACTGGGGCCCTGGAAGAGCGAGCTGTGCAATACTGGGCAGCTTATGGCAGCTTGACATCGCTGCATTGAGGCAAGCAGGAGGGTCTTCCCCAACTGTGAGCCCAAAGAATTGGTGGGGACCCCCCCCTGGCTGACAGAAGACTACAGATCTCGTCGGTTCAGCCTGAGTGTCCGGAGGTGGAGGTGGCGTTCTCCCCCTGTTCTGGCCCGAGAAAGATGGGTTCACCTGGAATCTTGTCACCCCGGAGGGTGAGGAGGCAACTCTGTTTCAATCCGAGAGAAACCTACTTTCCCAGTGATGGACAGTGATGGAACGTGTCATCGTTTCGACCAGCGAGTGTCCTCGAGACCGACCATGCAGGGGCCCTTTTTCGCCCCGTCCCGTTCGACCCCTTCGGTCCCGGTTCGACCTCTTCGGTCCCCACCTCAGTTGGCGGTGGGCAGCTATGTCATGGCCGTGGTGGCTCGTGACCGGCTAGGCCGGACGGTGAGAAAGCGGAAGAAAGCGGACGTTGAGATGTGGGGGGAGAGGGAGATCATCTGCACAAGTGTATGGTACCTGTAGAATCTATAGAGTCCTATAAAAAACCTAGCCCTACACTGCACTGGACCTGGTCATGGAACTTTGTCCTGCTGGCAGCTGTGTAGAACCACCAGTTGGCAGCTAATCGCAGACAGACATCGCACGAACCAATTTCGGGTGGCGTTTCACTATCATATGTTCAATTTAAACAACCTGCCTAGCTTCTTCTGAAGGGGGATTATATCATATTCAGTCTCAGTATATTTCTTAAGGATGGTTTCGGAAGATGGACAGTCACCTTCCTTCACTCCAAGTCACGCGAAACCGCCTCTCGTCTTCTCCGTTCACCCTTTCGGAGCTGGTTGCCACGCATGGACGGTTGCCACGCCATGCCACGTCACGAGTGTCACCGACACTGGGGGAGTGTGTCAACCCTCTCGTCTGACCGTCACGTTGTTCGGCTCGTTTTGCTCCCCAACGACGAACCTGATGGACCTCAAACGGTGATCTCAAACGAATAGCGATCGACACTGAGCGATTGGTCTTTTCGCGATGATCGCATGGTGAAACCGACTGTTTTCCGTGAGATTCTTTTCATTGCGGGTTGAGTGGGAGGCATCGGGGAGAAGAATGGTTCGAGCGCAGTTTTGGAATAGAATGAAGAGGGGTATCAAACAAAGACAAAGACATCGAAGTGAAATCTAATCATCCAACTACTGTTCAACTACCGCAATTAATTCTTACATATGTGTATATATAATATATATATATATATGGGGCATCACTGTCGTGTCAAAAGTCAACACTCTTGGACCCGGAAGCAGCTGCGGCCGCTTCGCTGGGGTCACAAGACGAGCGTAGCGGCGGGACAAGCTCAGCACCAACACCAAGACATCTATATATATCTATATATACAGTACAACAGTTTAAGTGTCGCCAGGTCCTGAACAGGGGAAGGCTTCATTCTAGGGCTCCCTGCCTTTGGGACAAGCTTGTTCCTGCGGCCTGCGAGGGAAAATGCACATGTGGTTTGCTCCCTGGTGACGGCCTGTTTCAAATCAACCTGGACCTGGGACATGCCTTCCTTTTAGTGGAAGTAAGGTCTTCCATGGTGTCATTTTCCATGGCCATGTCTATGTTTGTTGTGGAGAGGATGAGGTAGCTATATTACAGACATTGAGGACGGCTTACCAGCCTCTGTATGCAGGTTCTAGGAAAAAGGGACACCAGGAAGAAGGTTTGAACACCTGTTCCTGATGAGCCATATATTTATAACAAACTGTTGCCGCCCCACTCCAAACCGGTTTTTCAAGACCCACGGTGTCAGTCCAACCATCCACCTCAATCATGCGGGGAAGAACGTCCTGGATTGGGGATTTGCACCATTTTGATCCATTTGGCATCCGAAACGCCCCCGGTTGCCCAGGCGCCATCTCAGCAGCCTTCACCGTAGGACCCTTGGTGGAAGCTCCAGCAGGTGCCAGTCACACGTCCGCGGTGGACTCGGAGTGGACTCGTCGTGGCGTGAGCTGGGTCATCCAAGAGGTGGAACGCTGAAATCCTCGCTTTTCGAGTCCAAAAGCACCGGAAGGCAGATCAGAAGGCACTGAAGTGCCTGATTCAGAATGTCCAGAAGGCAGAGTCCAAAAGCACTTGATTCATGTGATGTGCCTTCTGCCATTTGCTGCTAGAAGTTGTGTGAGGTACTCACTCTCAAAATCCCGGTGATGTGCTTGCTGTCTGGATGTTCAAGAGGCACCCAAAGTCAGAATAGCCATGGTAATCGCCGCGTCGAGACAGACGAAACGGGCGGCGGCTTTCTAACTTTAGAGGTCCACTCGTCTCGGCTTTGCGATGCAGACGCTTCATTGCGACAGTGATCTCACTCACGATTTCACGGTCTCCCGGTCTCACTCCCATTTTGGGGCGGCAGATCCACGACCCCCTCCCACCACTCTGGACACCCGACGCCTAGCCCGACGCCGGTGTTCCCACCAGCGAACCCGATGCGCAGCCGGGCTCAGCCCGGAGCTGGCCATCAACTCGTTGGACACGGCGCTGTCCAGCGGGGATGAGACCGTGATCCTGGGCGCGCTCGACGCGGTGTCCTCCTTGAGCATCGTCCCGCGGATGGGATGGGATTGGGAGATGCCGTGGGGCTTGGGGAGATGGAACTTGGCTGAACTCGGCTCTGGCACAAACCCCCGGGGGGGGGCTGAGGGCAGGGGTATGAAGAGGTCAGCGTTCATTGACAAAAAACTTATCTGGAGACTGGAGATGTCTCCACTTCACAGGTACCCGCAGCACCCAAACCATTCCCGCCCGGTGGAGGAATCAGGTCGCATGTGTTCTCATCACAACATCGCCCGGGAAAGCCCTCCTTGCCAAGATTTTCCTTGGACCATAGCCCGCCTGAAGGGTTCGTGATCACTAGTCGCTCCTAGATGACCACTGGGCCCAGTCGTGCCAGTCTTCTTCGGCACAAGAAGGTGACCCAAGATCCATCTCCACCACCTCGTGGGATGTGCGAAAAATGGTTGAATTGGGTTGAATTAGTCTACTTGAAACACTTGGATTCTTTAGTGCGACTTGTTGTATCCAGGCCTGAGCCGTTGAAACAGTTGAACAGTTTGCCCTCGTCGCCGTCTCCCGTCCCCGTGGCCGCAGCTTTCCAACTCGTTGCAACCCGGCCCCTGACGGCACCCGCGCCGGCACGGGGAGCGCGGGCAGCATCTCCGGGCACGGAGTCGCGCCCTCATGCGCCACTAAGTGGCAGATGCCAGCACCCCGCAAACGTGTGGAGGAAGGCTCTTCAGTGCTACATCTTCCGATCCCCAACGGCGAGGGTCGTGCTGCTCCAGTCCCTCAAGGTCCACTCCTGCTGCGGCGCAACGACGCAACGGCCTCATCGAGCCCGGTGGAGGAGGCGTCCGCCTCGCCCAACGGAGAGGAGGCGTCGCCATGCGAGTGCTTCCGCTTGCGACATGTACGCATCAAAAGCCTTCTGCCCGATGGCACCCTGGGACTCTTGCTCCATGGAACTTCCGTGGTGGGATTCTGTAGTGAGGATGTAGCGGAGCATGGATGGTTGGTTGGAGATCAAATTGTTGAGATCAATGGCCACCGCATCTCTGCGTTCGATGAGTTCCTGGAACGCTTCTTGGCGGCTCAAGTCCAGGGCTTTCCGATCGTCTTCAGCGTGCTGCGGAGGGAGCTTGAGACGTCCGCGTCCGGCGTGCCCGAGGGCCCGGCCGCGGATCCGCTGGAGCACTTCTTCAGCGAGACGGACTTCGGCGACTTGGCGGACCAGCTGAAGAACAAGTTTCCGCCGCAGAAGGCGGCGTCGACGTCGACGTCGTCTCCGCCCTTTCCTGAGTCGATCTTGGAGAATCCATACATTCAGGCGAGGAAGGGGCAGGGCGTGGGGAAAGGGTGGAAAGGGAAAGGTGGATGGAAGAGGCGACATGGAGTGGCAGTGATCCTGGAGAGAGGCTGCTTCATGTTTTAGAATGTTTTATTTATAAACTTTGTTTTTTTTCTGCGCTCGAGTCTCGAGGTGTTCGATATTTTGCACATCATCCATGCTTGAAGGTTTCATTCTTACCCACGGCCCATGGTGCAGACACAAGAATGTGGGAAGGAACGTTCTGTTCTTGTCAATCTGGAGCCCAAAGGGGTGATTGGCAAAAGCTGACTCCTGCAGTCCCTCCCTTTAGCTATAGCTTCAAGACCAGAAGAACACTGGCACCTCCTTTCCCCTTCATTGCTTCTGACACCTAGATCTGTAGATCTGTCCATCGTTTGCCTGCTGGGAACGGTGCCTTCATCGCTGTCAGGCCTTGCGCAAGCGGCGGAGCGAGCTGAGCCGCAGCCCGGAAGGCTGGAGCGAGGAGGGCGGTGAGTTGCGGTCCTTGGCGGCGAAGATGGCCTCCGAGCGCAACGACGCCTTGGCGACCTGGGCGGATGGATGGAGGGGGTGATGGGTGAGACGAGGGAAGAGGGAAGATGATGGAAAGGCTCCTTTCTTGACAGATCTGATGGCTCAAGACCTGACCAATAGAAGTGGTGCTGAACAACAGTGATGCGACATTCTTGGGTCTGATGCCCCTGTTGTGGTGCTTGGTGTGCTTTGACATCTCTCCCTCCAGCTAAGGACAGAGACATGCTACATGCTTTGCTCTGCTTTGCTCACGACCACTGAGGCCATGTTGTCGAAAGCTGAGACGCCAAGACTCTATGAGTCTTCCAGATGCTCCCCTGGCTTCTCCTCGCGCCTTGCCGTCTCAGTTCCCGAACAGCGAGCCTGTTCGGCTGCCCGCACCGGGAGATTCGAGTCAGGCCCTCGACCAGACTAGACCACTAGACTCCCGACTTGGTTGTGGAGGATCGGGTTGCGGTACGTTGGACGTTGGACGTGGGTCCGGATCTGTGGGGAGCGGGTCGGGGTCGTGGTCGGTCGGCGCTGGCGAAGGTCGGTCCCCCCCCCTCCGCGCAGCGTTCACCTGGCCCGTCCAGGTGCATCACCTTTCGGCCTTGCAGGGAGAAGGACGTGGTCGAGGAGTTCCGGGCCCCTCGGACCGGCCAAAAGGGAGAGATCCCACGCGTGTGCATGTTGGGCACAGTGTAGAGGCGATGGCGATGGCGGTTTTCGATGCGGAAAGAGCGAAAGATCTGCTTGAATCATCTTGACCATTTTGAATGCCTGACATCATGACAATGATATACCATTGATATCCATTGGTCATGGAGCAAGCGAGCTCCATGATTAATCGCTGGGTAAAGCAACTTCAATAATATGATCATTGGCTGGCTGTTGGATGGACCTGCGGCTTCAAGATTCTTTGGCATTGATTAGGCGTCGAATGAGCTAGTATATTGGAGTGAGATGGAGTGAGGGCCCGTTTGAAACTTGTAGACGCTTGGAAATCCATCAGAACTGTCTTGCTCCTGCAGCTCTGAAACATCATTGGTGCCCTGCTCTCAACGGCTGAGCAGGGCGCCAGCCGCGGCGTCTACGAGTCAAATGCACTCTAGGGCTCTAAGGATCTCTAAGGGTGTTTCTCGATCACCAGCTATGCCCTAAAATTGCTAAATGAGATCGCATCTGAGCTATCCATAGCTATCCAGATTCACACAGAGCCCCCAATCAGACACCCATAGTTGTGGGGGGTGGATGCAGACCCCTCCTTTTTTCCTCCTACATTTTTCCCCTCCATCCAACTCCCAGGACACCAGGCCACCCGCCACTCCGAGGCCACCCCCCGGACGGACGCCTGCGATGTCGAGGGGCTCCCCCCGGCGACCTTCTCGGCGCGCCAGCGGATGAGGGTCGAAGCCGTATGTCGGAGCCACGTTTCACCGGGAAGTGAGGACAGATGAGGCTGGTGTGGGGAACCCGCTGTTGGCCTCCGAACGACGGCGGTGAAGAAACGCCCAGGGCCTCACCCAAAACAGCAGGCTTCGGATCGATAGATGGCTTGCAAGGCAGACGAACCCGAAAGACATGATGTTTGAACTTTGAACAGGTGGATGTCATTGGGGATGTTTTCTTGGATATCTCCAGGGCCCATGACATGTCCAATGCAAAAAGACATATCTATATACATATATATATATATATATTAATGTTATATATATAATATAGACTAGATGATGATGGATCTCCTGCACCATGCCTGAGAATCATTATGAATTATCCTGCTGCCCAATGTTGGTCCATTGATATTGATAGCTGGGAATCCACCCAACGCCTCACCAACGCCTCACCGCAGCAACTTCCCACGGCACGAAATGCGCGGATGGAAAAGACCCGACGGGGTCTGCTGAGCCGGGGCTGTACAAACATGAGACCAGCATGGACCACAAGATGAACCCGTTTGGCCTCTTCGCCGAGGCCACAGAGTGGGCTCTATAGCAGAGAACGGTGTTCTTCCATAGCAGGGGTATGTCTATTCGGAACCTCGCAGGACCATTTTCATTGCCCAGATGGGCGACATGTCTCACTTTCTGCGAGACAGGCCCTAATCCAAGCAGCGCTAGATAGTAGTTCACGGTGTTCAGATCTATAGACCATTCTAGAGCTCAGGGAACTGACCATGTGGTGTTTTCTGGGGCCTTTGTAGCCCTGGCTCACCATCTATAGCATAGCCTTTAGGTACCATCACGAGGCAATGGTAAGCTGATTGTGTACCAAGATGATGGGCAAGAGAACCTTGAGTTGAATCCCTGGGGGGATGCACACCAATCAGGTGAACATATGGCATGGTCGGTCACCCAAGTGGATGCGAGCATTTCTTGATTCCAATGATTTGGCTTCCAACCTGAATATCTAAAACATCTGAAATTGTCCAGCAGTTAGTCTGCACCTCTCGGTGGCCAGCACGTTTCACGATCTGAGGCTAGCGACGACCCTGCCGCCAAGGAAGAGGCAACCAACAAGAAGATGGAGGTGCGGAGAGGGTCGGAAGCACGGACGAAAACACAGCCAGTAACTGATGCATTGAACAGTTGACAGGAGATCACAGGAGCAAGATGGGGACAGACGTGCTCAGGTGCATGGTTGGACATTGCCCACACTCAACATACAGCTATGCGTGGAAGAAAAAGGCGAAAACACAGGGATCTGCTGTACTTTGGAAAGCACCGAATCTTGATCTGAGTTTGCACATGCAGGGCCAAAGCAGATGTGTTTGCTCTTTCAGCCACAGGTATGTGCTTTGCTTTATTGGTTTTCCCCCGTTCGCTGCAGCTCCCGCGATTGGTGGGTCATCTCGTGCTCCCCTCGTTGTAAAGCACAGAGGCAAACTAGCAAGCAGCAAGCTGCAAGCCGGAACAGGTGCCTCGCGTCCTCGCCACATAGGGAGAGCTATGGAGAGCTTCAACCTGAAGAATTCACCAGCCAGTCCGGACTGGGCGCTCAACAGGTGGAGTTGGCTCGGTTCACCATTCTTTTCTAATGGTGAAGTGAGTCAGGTTAGATGTAGGCTTCCTTTGTAACATGCGGTTTAATGGCTCTAAAATGGGGTTCTGGAAGACCCAACCTCACCTAAGAATCTTTGTAACCATTCCCATGGGTTTGGGCCCGGATTCTTAGGCTCAACTCGGAACCGCTTCTGATCGAGGCTTCGTTTTCTTCATGCCCACTGCCTGTGTTTTGGGAGCTTTTTGGCTTCCGGCCCGAAGGCCTTGTCCTCTGCTGCGGGTGTCGTGGGTGCCTCCTCAGCAAGCCCCTTGGGAAGAACTGCTGAGGATGAGGATGCCGTGAGGTACGTGGCGGGGAGGTAAAGCTTCAACCCACAGTGGCAGATCTGGAAATTGGTTCCGGAACGTTGGACGGATGTTCCATGTAGATCTGCAGCCGTAGAACCAAATTTCTCCAAGAAACGGATGACTTCCATGTGATTTCTTGAGATAATCAGGTGGCTTTGTTTATTGCGCAAATCTGACTGCAGCCCAGTTCTCCCCAGGCCAGTTCCCCGCAAATTCAACTCTCTTCAGAAAAAGAACGTGCTCCAAGTCAACAGCCATACAAGCAAAAGGCTCGTTGCAAACATGTCACATCATCTCACCAAGGCCCAAAAGTCCTTGGAACATGCAAAGCACCCACCCATCTGAACACCATGCCCTTCAACCATGGTTGTGCGACAAGAGCCCCCCCCCCCCACGTTCTCTTTGGGGATCTTTGGCCCATCCGTCCTACGTCGCCGAGGCCTCGCGCGCTTCGGCGACGTGGCCAGCAACCTGCTGAGCAGCGAGGCCGGCGCTGGCGGCGAGGCCTCGGCCACGGTGGCGGATCAGGCGTCGGGCGCGCTGACGGCGGCGCTGGATGCAGCTCGGAGGAGTCAGTGGGAGGAAGGAAGAAGCGGTTTTGGGGGGGAGGAGCGGTGCCGTGCGGTATTGCTTTTCCCTTTTTTTGGGGGTGGCATGAAAAAGAAGCCGCGAATGAGTGGATGTGGGTGGAATTTTGGAAGAGCCATGGGCCGGCAAAGCACCAAGCAGCTGGCAACCACGGGATACCACGGTCGTAGCCATTTTGGACTCTTGGAGTGGATAGATCTGGGTGTCCACCAGGTCCACCGAGCACGGAGCACGGTGGCCACTAATTAGGGTCACCTTCGAAAGCGGAGTTTCTTCTAGGTTGGCCTGGCTGTTGGTCTTTTGAGTGGCATTTATAGGATTTTTTTCTGCCTAAGATGTAGTGGATGTAGCACCTCCAATTGACCGAGCCAACAATTGTAAGAATGCTGTCGATGGACAGGAATCCGGGGTTAGTTCCGGGGTTTTATCGAGTGCTGCGAGGAATGAGAACATTGCCCTGTTGCACAGAAGACTGGCTTTGGTCAGATTGTTAGATACTCAGGCTACCCAATTCCCATGTGAGTGGGAGCAACTGAGTGTCACAGGTGCTGGTGAGCCATTGGTACTGTTCTGGAGAGGCTTGCCTACGCCCAAGATAGTACCCTTCTCATCCCTTAGATACCACACTCAAATTGCCTACTTGGGCCTCAACATGGCTGCCTTCCGTGTGTGTCAGCAACAGTCGGTGAAGGATTATCACTATCACTGTTTTGGGAAGGGTCTCGGCACTGGGATATACAGTATATATGCGTGTATATACCGTGCCACACTGTACACACTCCCTGGAAAAATCCATGAAGTGGATAGCATAGACCCTTCTGATCAAACATGCCCTTCCACCCTTCCACGTACGACCACCGACCTCCGACCGCCTGGTAAGGCCGCGTCGGAAGGCGCGGGACGAGCTGTTTCGGGGGACGGAAGATGGAACAATGTGACAAATGTCACCAACCTGCACCAAGGAAATGACTGTAGAGTGTAAGGACCTGCGAACTGTTCCATAATTCTAGTACAGGATTCTTTTAAGACTAGACATTTCGCCGTATACTCCAAAGGAACTGAACAAGCACACTGATGAGGCAAAACAAACAGACACCCGCAAAACGGACGCTTCCAAATCTTAACCTTCAACCACACTACATCGTAATCCTTGCCCGGCCTTGCCCCCACGCGGGGACCTCACCCCCTATCCCCTCGTCTTCTCGTCCCATGCCGACAGGCGTGAACCCCGCCGCTGCCACCTCGCTCCTGGGCGCTGCCACCTCCGTCGGCGCCTCCTTCAACGCCGACAGCGGTGGCTCCAGCGTGGCGCAGGGCGCGCGCGCCTCGAAGCTGCGGGTCCTGGTGCCTTGGGCCAAACGCGGGCTGGGAGGGCTGGGAGGGGTTCGACCTGGCAGTCGCGGCAAGGAACATCAAAGAGAACGCACGAACACTCATGAAAAAACGCATGAGTACTCTTCGATTTGGGGGATTCACGCTTGTACCGCACCTTTTCTCCCTTGCGGACGCTGGTCAGATGATGACGCTTCCATGCAACATTTGCCAGCCGACGCATGGCGGAAGTTTGCGAAGAGAAAAGCATGGCAAGATGTTTTCTCCAGGGGCTGGTCCGAGCATCCGGGCTTGCTGATTTTTCAGAACCTGTGGTGGTTCATTTTGGCAGGTTTGCATGGGGTTCTCTGACAGGACCTCGACATCAAGGTTCATCATTTCCTTAGAGTCCTAGAAATCCAAAGGGTCGAAGTGCTATGCTGACGAAAGAGGCCTTCGCTACATAGCATCGCGAAAGAGTTCGGCGACCCGAAAATGGAAGACAGAGACAATTACAGTAGTTGTTTTTAGCTTTATTTTATAGAACAATACAGTACTGTATTAAAAGCATTGTTTATTTACATCATATTTGATGTGTTTAAAATGATGTTGACTATTATTATGTGGTGGTGGTGGTTCTTGTGATTGTGATGATGTATTGTATTGTTTAATTTTTGTGGAGCTGCAGGTAGAAGAGGCAGCCAGAGGTGAGTCCCTCTATGATGTCACCGTACGTCACCATGAAGTAGATTGGACTGGAAATGTAGCGTACTTGTTACCCACAGATCGAGGCGCACAGACTAAGTAGGTTTCTTGAAACACGTCTATCATTACACAATGTACTATACTCCATCGTATACCTTCCATTTAACATCCATCAGACCTGACCTCCCCTACTCGGGCATGACTGCCGTGGACCCGAGTTCTCGAAATTGGGCTCCGCATTGCTACAACAAGTGCCCGCGGGGCAAGCCACACAGATCTCAACAGTGGAAGGTGGCAAGGGCACGGAAGCTCGGAGAGGAACCGGGTTTGGAAGATTCTGACGGATTCTGGGAACAGATGGGGTGGCAGTCGTAATTGGTTGGCGCGTCCGGAAGTTGATGAACATCAGAGGGTAGACCTGTGTTCTTTTGAATCTGTCCCGTGCTCCGTGCTCATGCACCTCTTGCAGTTTCTTTCCTCTCCACGTGGTGCCCACAGATGGTTGCACCGCAGGCCGCAAGAGTGGAACCCTTTTGACCCTGTGGCCATTCCTGCGGCATCCGACCCCAAAAGCACGGTGGCCCTTCTTCCACCTGGCAGGGCGATGCATGCCCTCCACTTTTCGTGTTTGGAGTGAAGTTCAGATGAGTTGGTTACCCGCACCCACCACGGCCAGCTCGCACCCAGATTGGCGCACTGAGCCATTGGCTCCTGAGCTAAGGAGATTGCGGTGGCCAAGCAGGACACCACCACTGCGGTGGCCAATGGTATCTCCTCGGGCTCCGCCAAGGCCAGAATGTGCCGATGGAAGAGGTGCAGCACCTTGAGTCTTCTAAAAGCCGTCCAATGTAGGGCTTATATAAGCTAGAGTTAGAGGTTAAGAAATGGTTGAGAGTTCTTCCATCAATGGAACAGTCGAAATCTTAGGAGTGTTGTTTCTTAGCCACATCGAAAGATGGTGGCTGCCCAGTGGATGCTGAGGTTTCAGGATGTTTTCAGAACGACCCCGCTACCCTCCTTCCCACCAACATGGAAGTCGAACACCGCCCCGTTTTGTTCGGGGAACATGGTCTTTCCACAGCCTCCCCTGATTGTTGCAGGGTGGGTTATCCTTCCGGATCGCTCCGAACGGGCTGTTTCTGTTGGGTGTGGATGGTTGGTGCTGTAATCAAAACCTTCTGCGTTCAGCAAGCTGTCAACTGGGCTGCACAACATTGCCGTCCTTGAACTGAACCCGATTGGTGAACCAGAGGCGCCCCGTGACGTCACACGCCTCCTCCCCGTCAACGGGGCGGCCGTGCGTCGCGTGCGTCGCGACCAGATCCCGGGCTCGGCGCTGGCGCGGCGACTGCAAGAGTGTAACACCATCGCCGTGCAGTCGACGGATTTTGTGGGGAGCTTTTTGGCGGAGCGAAGCTGTGCGCGAGGGATTGGGGTATAGAGACCTTCCTTTTTTCAAGCCCAGCATGTTCCCCACAAGCTTCGGTGATGTCTTGGAACTCTTGGAAGATGTCTTGGAACTCTTGGAAGATGTCTTGTTCTTTTTGATTCTCCAGGGCTGGCAACAACAGGTCGATAGTCGCTAAGTTGGACGGGAACACGGGGGATGGCTTTCGTCGTGGTTTTCATTGCCATGAATGGCGTGGGAAGTCGCCTTCATAGAGTCAAAAAGTGACAGGAGAGAAGACATATAGGCAACAAAAAGGTTTCAAAATCAGTGTCTTTTTAAAATCATTAATCACAGGATTTTGGCTGACTCGTGGACTCGTGGGCCTTGCCGTTGCCGTTGACCATCAGTGTTTGGAGAAGTGTTTGGAGGTCAGACATGGAATGACATGGAAGATGGAGGAGAGTGTTTCGGGGCTCAAGATGTCGTTTGCGACTGAGGCAATCCCTTCACATACCTGACTCCAAGCTCCTTGGACCATCCTGATGCAGAAGAACTTCAAGAACACCAACCAAGATGGATGTTAGAACCCGCGTGAACCCGCAATGACTAGTAGTGATGGCAGCCTTGGACCAACATAGTTTGAGAATTCCACCGGGGGAGACGGGGAGATGGGGCCCATGTTGGAGACGGTGTTCCGGACCGGAGCCAGTGGCAGTACTGGCTCTCCTGAAGCTGGACAGCGATTGAGAGGACAGGTTGCAAGGCATTGAGTGCATCGGACCAGACGGGCTTCTATAATGTTTGGGCTGATCTTGCTCACCAGCTGGAAGGCCGTCTCAACAGCCAGGATGGGTTTGATGTTCGTTTCCCTTCTCTTGGAGGTCGCGTGGCATTCCTTCCTAGTTTGAGACATGAGACACGGGGCCAAAATGTGCCCGAGGGCTAGGACCAGGATGGGCCAGGTAGCTGGGCAGGTTGGGCATGGTGCCATACCAAGGCCTTGGGCAGAATCAGTACGTGGCGAACGGTGCCACGGTGACCACTCTGGAAATCAAGCAATGCGACAGTGGCGCGGCAGAAGGGACATCGTGCCAACGAAGGGACATTGGACCCCACATGAGAACGATCTGCGGGTCGGAGTTGGGGGTTCCAACGACATCGGCTCCATGCAATTCTGGGTCTTCCACGGATCGACCTAGAAGTTTTCCCCAAGAGTGTCTGAGCGAAGGGTTCTTCAGATGAAACCTTCGCATCTTCACATCTCCCGCTGCATCTTACTTCTTTCTTAGGTGGGTTTGGCGAGATGCCTCGAAAGTGAACCCTTTGCGGGAGCCTTTGAGTGCCTAAAACTGAGATCACGTGCGAATTGTGCGATCGAAGTGCGATAGCTGTCGTTGACACTCAGCTCTGAGATTGCCAAAGTGTGAAGCTGTCGTTGGCTTCAACTTAGCAAACTGGCCGTCAATGACTTTTTTGGTGTGCTGTGGGGTCTCGACCCACAAGGTCTCAGCCCGCGAGGCCTCCAGTTCAAGTCCCCCCCCGCCCGGCCTGGAGCATGCAGATGTGTGCGGCAGGAAGCGCGCGAAATTACGGCTGTGATGTCGCTGTGCCATGCGTATGTTGCAGGGTCCTGTTTAACTTTGAGCTTGGAAAGCAGGGTCGAAGAGAACCGGCTGCACAGGGGGAGTGCGAGTCTTGGAGAATTTGACTTCGTGCGGTAAAGCCCGGCATTCGGCGTTTCAGCCTCAATGCTACTCACAAGGCGGGCTTTGCCAGGCCAAAGCACATGGTGGGTCATCCTCGCCGCCTCAGCCGTGAGGGGTCGCGGTGGCGCGGGTTTAGG